TCCACAAAATCGCTTCCAATAGCAGCAAGGTCATGACAGCATTTGCCCCAGAGGATCTTGCAAAAGACTTAAAAGACCTCGACTTTGGAGCAGATCCTCTCCCGCTTCAGCGTAGCCTTGGACTGATTTGGAATCTTGAGAGTGACAGGTTTCGGTTTCACAAGTGTACCACGAAGAGAAGCCGTTTCCACAAAAAGAGGCAATCTTATCAACTAGTACAAGAGGTTCTCTATGATCCTCGGGCTTTGTGGCTCCCATCACAGTTCAAGGAAAAGCTCTGGTCGAGAAGAACTGTCATCAAAGATTCATGACTGGGACTGGATCCTTTCCCATCAGACAAGCGAAGTGTCCTGGAAGCTGTGGAAAGCAGTTTCTCCTGGAATTAGAAAAGCTACACATCAAAAGAAGGTATGTGCCTATCCCTCTTGCCTCATCTCAAAGTCGAGAGCTCTGTTTATTCTCTGATGCCTCCACTCAGGCTATCGCCACAGTAGCCTACCTGCGTGTCACCAATGATGAAAACCAGTGCCACGTAGGATTCGTTATGGGCAAAGCAAAGTTGGCGCCGCATCCAGCCCATACGGTGCCACGTTTGGAGTTGTGTGCCGCTGTCCTGGCCGTTGAGATGGCAGATATGATCTGCAGTGAGATGGACATTAAGATGCATGCTGTGAGATTTTTCACTGATAGCAGGATTGTTCTCGGGTACATCCACAACACCTCCAGAAGATTTCACGTGTATGTTGCCAACCGAGTCAATCGCATCAGGAAATCAAGTCATCCACACCAGTGGCAGTATGTTGCCACCGAACAGAATCCGGCGGATCACGCCACCAGACCCAAGTCTGTAGACATCCTCAGGGCCTCTAACTGGTTCTCGGGTCCCGGATTCCTGAAAAGCAGCCGTGAGCCTCCAGAAAGCAACAGCTTTGATCTTGTGAATCCAGAACTTGACGTGGAAGTCCGGCCTCAGGTTGCTGTCAACTACACAAAAGCTGCAGAAGGTCAGTTCAGCTCAACACGCTTCGAACGATTTTCTGGCTGGAAGAGACTATTACAAGCTATCACAAAACTTATTCAAGTAACAAGAACATTTACCAAGACTCACAAAGTTGATGCTGTCGATGCACGATGGCAAGCTAAAGCAGTCGTCATTCGTTGTGTTCAGCAAGAATCCTATGGAGAAGAGTTAAACTGCTTGAGAGACGGGATTCAGCTCTCAAAAAAGAGTCCGCTGAGAAAGTTAAATCCTTTCATCGACGAGGATGGACTCCTTCGGATTGGAGGACGCCTTACCAACGCTGACTTACCAAGAGATGAGAGACATCCTGTCATACTGCCTAAAACGCACCACATTGCAACTCTTATAGTGAGACATTACCACGAGGAAGTTTTCCATCAAGGCCGTCACTTTACTGAAGGTGCTGTCCGGTCAGCAGGAGTGTGGATAGTGGGAGGCAAACGGCTGGTGTCTAGTGTCATCTACAACTGTGTGACCTGCAAAAAACTGAGAGGGAGGGTAATGGAGCAGAAAATGGCACCATTACCAGCTGACAGACTCAGCTCAGAACCACCTTTTACCCACGTCGGACTGGACGTCTTCGGGCCATGGAGCATTGTCACTCGCCGCACTCGTGGAGGCAGCGCTGAAAGTAAGCGATGGGCAGTGTTATTCACATGCATGAGCACGAGAGCTACACACATCGAAGTGTTAGAATCTATGTCCACTTCAAGTTTTATAAACGCTTTACGACGTTTCTTTGCAATCCGTGGACCATCCAAACAGCTTCGCTCTGACAGAGGCACAAACTTTATTGGAGCGTGCAAAGAGTTAAAAATCAACACTGGTGATCCAGAGTTGACAAGTTACCTTGACAATCAGGGCTGCACGTGGACTTTCAACGCCCCCCATTCATCCCATATGGGAGGTTGTTGGGAGAGACTGATAGGAGTAGCACGTCGGATTCTAGAAGGGATGTTGCTGCGGTCTGACACCAACCGCCTCACACACGAGGTGTTGACAACACTGATGGCAGAAGTCATGGCCATTCTAAATGCCAGGCCGTTGACTCCAGTGTCAACTGATCCTGACAATCCTACTATATTGACACCTGCAATGATTCTCACTCAAAAGACGACTCCAGTGACTGCTCCCCCAGGTGACTTTGTTCATAAGGATCTTCACAAAAATCAGTGGAAACAAGTACAGTGTCTGGCAGAGAGCTTCTGGAAGCGATGGAGACAGGAGTATCTGGTGACTCTCCAGAAACATCACAAGTGGAATGATGACAAGCCAAGCATTCAAGTGGATGATGTAGTTCTGATGAAAGACAGCCAGGCTAAACGGAACGACTGGCCAATAGGACTCGTGGTAAAGACATTGCCTAGCAAAGACAACAAAGTCCGCAAGGTTGAAGTTAAAGTTGTGAGACAAGGAACAACAAAAACCTACATCAGACCCATCTCAGAGCTCGTTTTTCTTATGTCTAAGGACTCATAAAGGGATAGACATTCTGATAAGGAACACTAATGTGCATAAAGGGTGATTGTATATTTGTTTCCTCAAATAGTTTGGGTAATCTTTGAGTAATTAAGTTGTTTATAGTGGTATGTTAATATACCAGGCGAGGAGTGTTCCGCCCTTACGGTCTTTAAATTATAGGTTCCTAGGTCGGACTGTTTAAGGGACGGACCGGTTCGAGCAGAAATCGTTCACGAGACTGTTGTCATACAGAGCATGGTCAAATCTTTTGTCTTCTTACAAGACTTAATGGAGAGAAACTTAAGAAATAGAAACTGAGGAAGAAAAGGAGAACGGAAGATAAAACATCAAATCCTCAACAACTCTGGGTTTCCGTCCTCATCTGCCTGTTAAACTTATCTGTCTAGTGTACAAAGCGACGTCGTAACTGCGAGGGCAGAATATAAATAGTGGTTAGTAGCATCAGTAGTAGTAATAGTACTGGTAGCAATAACTGTAGCGAATAGTATCAGTCAGTAGTAATAGCAGATAGCATTAATAAGTATCATTGTTTATTGTGTTACTACAGTATTTAAAGCATAGAGATCCGGTGCTCTAACCCCCCTCTATATGTTTTCGTTTGTTCAAAAATCCCATTAATAGACACAAAAAAACAACATTTAGTCCGTGCTTCTCAATACTGTCTGACTCTTTTCTTCTCAGGCTCCCAAACCCATTGGTTCCTAGCTGGAAGAGAAATCTTTAAAAACCCTCACAAATACACAAATAAATGAAATTATTAGAAAAGGCTCATTATATTTTTCTTAAAACAGCTGGGCTCTTTTTCTTGATATCCTTTAACACAGAGCTGAGTCATGTGTACTGTGGGTGTCTTCACACTGTGTCCTTTTGTGTCAGATCTGGAGTGTGGCTTGACATATATGCTACAGGAACCAGAAGGACCCAGACAAACCCCAGTGCTTCCTGTGAACAGCGCCACTTTCCACCTCATCGGTCCCACTCTGTGGACCTCCTCTGGGCTTAACTGTTAAATACAAGACTGACCTGTGTGTCCAATGACTGCAGCAGCCATGCTGTTATAATATCTGTTTGGTTTTCACAAGTGAAGTGTGTGAAGCAACACATGTTGCTCGCCAGTGTGAAGGCAGCTCTGCATAAGAAAAGTGTCTGATACTGAACAAGGTGAGCAGTTATACACTGCGCACATGTGGTGTAAGAAGAGGGAATATTGGTTCACAGCGGTCTGCTGTATATTTCAGCCTGGCTGATGTTGACCTGTTCCCCCCCCCCCCTCCCCCCCCTTTTTGTTTTGTGTTATTCTATAAACATCAATCCATGAACGCATTATGTCATCCACTGCTCTGCATATCAATACTAATTATTTTTCACCTATGTAAAAAATGGGAATATTGTGTGAACCTGGAAGTTTTTTTGCTGTATATGAAGAATATGTTGTGTTTGTTACCACTAGGTTTATCTTTTGCTGCTTTGCTGTTGCTGTGTAATTTGGGCTTTGCATGACTCCTCCTGCAATTATACTGTAATGAGCTACCTGTATGAGAACTTGCAACAGCACCCGTCTGAACCTTTGTAATGTAAAAACGACAATAAAACACATATTGAAGAAAAATAATGGGCTTTTGTTCCTTTTGTTTCTTCTCCTAAAATCATTATTTTAGATGAAGTGTAAGAAATAGACTGCAACCAGCAAATTATGTTGCATTATCAAATAATCTGTCCAATTATTTTCTTGATTAATCAATCCAGTTGTGTGGTCCATCGAAATATAAAAAAATTGTGAAAATGATCCTACTGGTTACCCAAAGCCCAAGGTGACATAACATAGAAGATATTCAGTTTAAACTGGATTAATAAACCAGAAAATATTCACATTAATAACTTTTTTCTTATTCGAGAAACATAAAATTGATTTATTAAAATAATAATAGTTACAGGTCTACTAAATGAATCAACTAACCTGTGTAGTAACAAAAATGTTACCTCAGTACTTTGTAAAAAGCAAACTTAAACCTGAAGGTCTTGTTTTTCCTAAAACAAGTAAAAAACAATATGCAGCAAGCAAAGTTAATATTGATCATTGTGTTTCTAATACAAGTCAATCTGTCTGATATTCAGTATTCTATCAATATCTTGTCAGAAGAACAAAAAGAAAGATTTTGAAGAGTAATTTTCTTTTTAATAACACCTATATGGTTTGGGAATTGTCCTCCAAGTTTATGAATTACGTGAAATGCTCATACATGTATTTGTTATTTTTTCAATTATAATCTGAGTTTTGAATCATAGGCAATATTTAGGTGACCCAAGTTTTCTGTAGTAGGCTTAGGTGAAGTCCTGCACCAACCAACTTGTGCCATGCTCTCATTGCTTTGTGGGCTCATTACACAGGACAATTAGCTCAGTTGAGCCTTGGTAACTCGGCCAACAAGGAAAAGGCTTTCATTCTGGCAGTGTGGACCACCCATCCAGGATGTTAATCACACACACACACACAGAACACACACGCAACCACACACACGTAACAATCGACCAAACAAATTTCATAAAAATATTCTCACAAACTTCATTTTCATTCTGAAAGATATGCTGGTTGCATAATTTAAACTTGAACCATTATTCTTAAAGTTACAGTAGATCATTTTTCTATACAAATACGTTTTTGTAATGTTGGTTGAAACTTTCACTATATCCTGACAGTAGAACATGAGACGGATAATCTGTGAAAAAATCAGGTTCCTCTGCAAGAATCCACCAGGCCTGAATAAAAACAATCAGTCAGAGGCGAAAAAGATGGGCGATTGTTCAATCTCATTCCCAGGGTGTCAAATACTCAAATGCTTTGGGACCCTACGAATGAGACTCAACAATCAACTATCTTCTTCTGCTTTCAACCCAAAGCAATTTTCTTGGCTCTGATTGGTTGGTTTCGTCCAGGCCTGGTGGATTCTTTCAAACGCCATTAGGAGCACTGAGGAACCAGATTTTTTCACAGTTTATCTGTCTCATGAACATTTCAGCAATAATGACAATAAATGATATTTATAGAAATGACCTACCACAGCTTTAACACAGCTGCTAAAGATGTGTTGATCCATATAAACCTGACCATTATCTTAAAATAATAACCTGTGACAAGTCCTTCCTGCCAAGCATTTACTGAACAGATCACATAACAGATAAACAAGAAAGGTATTGTTCTTGCTATTCCCGGAATGCACTGCGTTTGAGCAAACTGTGTTCAGGAAAAGTTTGTGCCTGGTCACGTTTCTGACATTTGCTTTTCATTTGCATGTGTTCCCCTGCTTAAGTGGTAAGCACACTGCACCACAAGGAAGTCCTGGGCCAATGAAAAATGAAAGATGTTTGTATCTTTAAAGCTGTACTCATCAGTATGTTTATATTAAGGTGATGATAATCAATATTCTTAAATTATTAATTATTAATTATTATTAAATTATTCTAAATACCATGGATTATATATTCAGTTGTATGTAAATGCCCCACACAGCTTTACAGCCTCTTACGGCTTATTGTTTCCATTTTCCGGCTCACAGCTTTATTGCTTTGGTTCCTGCTCTAACTGCCATTATTTTGACAACCTTGACAAACCAGTTGTAGAATGCATTCTGGCAGCCTTATATTGCTCTCACATTTTCTTCCTTTCCAGCTGCTCTAGAATGGTCACAGTTTTTTGTGTTTAAAAAGTATGTTCATTCAACTCTCCTTCTAAAGGACTGGCCACCTCATACATGTAGGAATCTGATATGCTCTTCCTGAGGAAACAGATCCCTGCACTCTCTAACACTTCTTTTATACATATACTGTAATTATATATGTATTTTATTATAATGGTACCCTCTATAGCAGTGGTTCCCAACCTGGGGGTTGGGACCACTAGGGGTCACCAAAGCTTCATGGTGGGTAGAAATGATTTCAAGAAATGTAAGAAATTGTAAAAACATACACAGTAGACCTATATATCTCAGCATTTTTTCATGTCTGTGAAGAAAACTATATTACATTTTTATTTTTCACTCTCTGATAAAAAGCCTTACCCTGCAACAACCAAATAGCTAATAGAACAATGGCGAAACATCAGGGAGAAGAAAACAGAATTTGTCCAAGAAGAACCCTATTAATGATGTTTGATTGTTAAAAATAAAAAATTAATACATATTACAGACAGAGAATTGTATAAAAAGTTCCAACAATTATCAGGATTTTAAAACCACCAGCAGGAACCTGATTTTTTCACAGATTATCTGTCTGATGTTTGTTAGTAGAAATATGTAGTTGCACTAACAATAGTAATAGTAGTAACAGTAGTTCTTTCAGTTTCAATAATAATAATAAGATTGTTTTTGTGTATTTATTATTCATGTCTTCTTCTAAGTTTTATACTTCCCCCACAATCTGTTGGCAAATAGGCAGACTATCCATCTTGTATGAACAGTTCCATATTTATTCAAAAGACATTCTGGGTGTGCAGCAATAATAACAAAGGTAGAAAGGAAATTCAATAAGGAAACATCTCAAATGTAGGTGAAGAGAAGAAACTTTCCAGTGCTTAGTTTTCCAGGTGTAAACTATAGTGACAGCATGTTGCTGGCATCTGTGGCAACAATAAACTCTGGAGTGGACCGAATGTCTCACCCTCACAGCTCAGACTTCAGGAGCTTCTTGGCCTTGGCCATGTTGTTCAACACTGAAGAAGAGAGAGGCAGGAAACATTTAATCAGTCTGTGTTTCAGAGATACAAGCTGACAAAGGAGAGATCTGTGTTGTGTGTTGCAATACTTACAGAGGTTTATGTCACTGGGTTCATAGGCATACATGCGGTTGGAGTAGCGACCATTGACGTCGGCCCTCACCGTCATTGAGGGGTCTGTGGAGACATTATTGGTAGTGAGGAAAATCTCCAAACATTTTCAGGTAATTCCGGTGGAACAGGCAGCTACTGCTACTGTACTTTCACCAAACTTGAATTGTTAGTATCTCGTCACGGATTTGTCCACAAGTTAACTTCCTTATAGGGCACATGATGTGTAGTTTTCTCACAGTTTATCCGTCTCATGTCAGGATATAGTGAAAGTTTCAGCAAACATGACGAAAAGTTATTTTTATAAAATTGAGCTACTGAAACTTTAAGATAACACAATGAAATAGTAGTAGTAGTGTTGACAGAGTAACTACACTGATATTCATTGGTATGAAAGATGTCTTAACAAACTTCATCCACTCACACATCAACAGGTAAAATTTTCACATTTGACAACAATGTCTGAAAGCAGTGATATAGTAGGCCTGGTTGTTATAACAGGAAACAAATGTTACATTAAAGGTACATAACCTAATCCATGAAAGGGGTGTTTACAGGTTTACAGGAAAAGGTGTAGCTCTTACCGACAAATATGATCCTGGGAACGTACTGCCCATCAGGAGAGAGATGTTTGTCTGTGGTTTCATACTGTCGATGAGAAATAAAATAACACTCAACCATTGAACATATCAAAGTGTGACCATAACATCGTAGAGCATAGGTGTTTTTAAAGGTCCTGAAAGCTCATTCTCTACATTTAGCTTATTACAGGCAAACACGATTTTGAAAAAAGTTGTCTTCTTTCAGACTAATGAAAAAAAAACGCCTAAAATACACATTTAGGTGTTTATTTTACTACACTTTGTCTATTTGCATCTGTAGATTTCTCCTAAAGTTTGCTTTGGATAATACCTCACTTCCATATATATTAAGAAAATAACAAAACATAATTAATGGGAGTAATCAACTGGGGAATATCGATGAGTTAAAATTTTAAACCTATTCACCTGTAGTGACCTTTTACAATAACTTTAAAGGCTGTTTTCTCAAAATGTGTTTCTCTCAAACTCTGAGCCAGGAATCTTCACTTCAGTAGCAGTAGTGATCAGATTTTATTCCTAAAATATGGCAACAAAAAAAAAGTATGGCTGTTGACAGTGTTTTCTGATTAAAAGAGAGATTCCCTCTGTAAAAACCTCTGAGAACAAGAATTTTAAACCTGGTTTATCAGATTTTTGTTCAGGAAGTGTATGCAAGTGTAAATGTATATGTGCATTTTTAAATACATAATGCATAATCTGCATATTCGAACATATCAGAAAATAAGAAAATAATTGAAAAATATCACCTCCCCATCAACTGGGGAGGTTTTGTGGTGATATCTATTAGTTAGTTTTTTTTCTGAAAGTTTATGTAACTTACCACCAGATTGAGGACAATGAAATCCTCATCAAGAGTTTTCTGAATCTTGTTGTCTTCAGAAAAAACCTTCTTCAGTGCTGTGGGAAAAATAATTCAGTCCAGGATGTGTGACGTCACACATGAGCAAACAAATGATTGCTGGCTCTTCAAACAGGTTTGGCTCCTAATTCAACACAACATGAGTGCATGAGTAAAGTTAATAAGTCAAATAGTCAGACTCACCCTGGCTGTGTGGGCAGTCCTCAAGGTGAAAGATGACCATCAGAGGCTTGTTTCTAAAACACAAATCACCTTCAGTGAATGGCATCAGAGTTAAACCAACATTTTGACATCAGTGTGAGTCAAAACTATTTCCTACCTTGACCTGGACCAGTAGAGAGCCTCTTCGTATGTCTGAGCCCAGATCAGCTGATCACCCCAACCTGGACAGACATGGACACCATTAAAGATCTATGACAGGCTCGTTCATTTGCTCATTTGCGCTATACAAAAGTCTTATCAGCCTTAGACGTGCAGATGATGCTCACAGACCTCTGGCCAGAGTCTGAGGGACCCTTTTGCCGGTCTTGGGGGTGTATTTCCCGAAGGAGGAGGACACGGCCACCAGGACCAAGAGTACCGATAATGCTGCTTTGATCATCTTTACAGGCTTACTGCGGACAAAGGCAGGGATAACAAATCACAAAACTACAAACTGTGTGTTCAAAGAATAGAACAAAAGTGAAAAGAGAGAATAGTATAACATGCAACACAGGTGACGATATGCTTATGTGGTCCTTAACCACATTGCTTTCAGCCAGGATTTGCATTTATGCCTACAGGTCATTTACGTTTTTACAACATTATAGTATAGAATTAGAATCACATACTTTTTTGTTTGTGTGTTTTATGTTTCAAAAATCATAAAGGTTAAATAAATTTGTAACAGAACAGAAATCATCTGCAGTAAAGACTCCAATCAGTATAGCCTAAAAGAGGGGACTAAACTGAAGTACAGTAGTGGTGTAGCTGTGCCTGGCGAATGGCTACATTCTCTTAATTTATGCCCCAATTTATTTTTAAGATGCCTGTCCAGCGAAGGATGCTGTGTTATAAAATGTGACATGTAAGACTACTCTTACATATACAGTTCACCTACAATGGTCCAGTAGTATTTGCACATTGTCTCTTAACTTCTGCTGCTCGACTTCAGGCAGTAAAGGTCATTATAAAGTACATCAACCACAGAAATGCTAATACTAATACTGACCTACAGCGTGATACAACTACATAAAATTATACATTTTGAGTGAAGTACTCGTCATTCAATACTCCATCCACTCCACTCAAACTTTGACAAATATGTCATGCCTTTACCATCCTAAGAGAAAAAGTTAAGCTCACAGAAGCCTGCTGAAGGAGGCACACAAAGGGGATTTAGAAGTGGGTATAACGAATGCTGACTGAAAAATAAGGCTATTCTCTGTATACCTGCATACACCCTGCACTACACTACTGAGTGCAGACTTCTTCAAACAGTGCAGCATCAGCAGCTGCTGAATGAAGACATGTTGCATTTACTTTGATTTCCTAGTGTGTCTTTTGTTATCTATAAGTTATATAATTATTAGTCTTTCCATCATTGTTTCTTGCAAATGAAAACTAACATAAAGTTTCTTTAAATTTTTAACTTTTCTTTTCTTTTGTCTTTTTTTTCTCTTGAGTACATTTAAACCATTATATTACTATACTGAACTCTAAGCTGATTAACTGAGTAGTTTTTCCAGCCCTGGCACTAAATGACTCCACTGTAGTAATGCAGCATTTGCGTACTGAAGTGAAAGACATTCCCCTACAGTTCAAATGCAGCCCTGTCGGTGTCTTACCTGTTCAGGACTGGTCGGTCAGGTAAGAACGTGAGTGGACTGCCGTTCCAGGATCTGCTATACCTCCACTCTCACCTGTCCCGTATTTAAACACCTGTTCCCCCGCGGCCCCGCCCACCGCGCGCACGCCGGAGGAATGCCACGTGACTCAAACTGCCAAAACGTTTTCGTCAGCAAACCAAACTCCCGTAAGAAAATTGGTGATTTAAGGTTTGCGTGTGTATTCTCAAACATTCCATGGTGTAAGATCATCACTGTAAGCATATTACGTTGTGATACACTAAAGCCTTAAAATCGGCATACGTCACAATTTACCCAGCTGCGTCTAGTCTATTTAATATCACCTTTAACCGTTGTTGATCCTGTTTTTATTCCTTAAAAATGTATCAGTGCGGGAGGGAGAGGAAGAATAGGAACTCTTTATTCATAATCGAATAAAGATTTAAACGTGCCTGAAATGTTGCTTTAGTATTAAGTTCTATTTGCCGAACGTATCAGAATACTGTAGTGTGTTATTACCTATATAACATGTAATCAAACATGAATGTGCGTTGACAAATAAGCAGTGCACTCTTAAATTACATGAAATGTTAAAGGGATTTGGCATTCAGTTCAAGAACGTGGCTCGTATCCGGGTTGAAGGAGACATAGTTTTACATAATTCTGTTTGCATGTCCATAACTAGGTTTTCATTCTATTGTATCAATAATGTAATGCAGTTGGGGCACTGTGGTGGATAATTAATTGTTTATTCATGTTATGCGTACACGGGTCGATCTGTGGTATCGGTGAGATGGGATGTTTGGCTTGGATCCAAGGACAGGTCAGCATGGAATTGAGCGCGATCATTTGCCGGATGATGATTGGTCTTTATGTGATTGGCTCCAGGCACAAAGGTGAAACTGAATGAGTTTTTTCTACAAAGTCAACACGTTGATGCAGTCATGAAGATTAACAATGAATGGTGTTTGACATCGTAACAGTCGTGGGCTCAAAAAGCGGCAGAGCCTAAATAACCATACAAAATCATTTTTAAAAAATGTGTGAAATCCAAGCACATTGACATTAAAAGACACAGAACCTTGAGTAGCCTGTAAAATAAAGCAGCTTCAGTTGATCTCTGAGCGTTAACGGACGAGAAGTGTGTGTATTCTGCCTGAGCTTTATCTTCAAGCATCTCAACAGTCTCCTGTGTCCTGCAGCAGGGAGCTCACTGTGAGCTGCTACCATCAATGACACCTTTGTTCAGCCTGAGCCCAGCCAGGGCCTCCTGACCACCAATCCACTTCTCAATCAGTCCTTTTACTGCAGCTCCCTGCTTCCTGGAACAGCAACTTTCCTAACCGCCCACAGCAGAGTCACACACACGCACACACACACACACTGATCTTAATTTGTGAGGCATTTTTAACAGTGCTTTACAAGGGAAGTTAAAGAAGAATGGAAAGCAAAACATTCAATCATGAAACACAATAACAATAAAATAATATCAAATGCAGATTATGCATGTTTTAATTTATTCGTTTGCTTTTGTTTTCCAATTAAACTTGTACGTTTTCTGGTTCCAGATTTTTAATGATTAATTATTATCATAAATAATAATAATAATAATAATAATAACAACAACAAATTTATTTATATAGCACCTTTTAAAATCAAAGTAATCATTGTGATACACACAATGTAATTAAATATACAATTAAGGAATACAGAATAGAATCTATAAAATGAATGACTTATCTCATCATTCTGATATCATTTTTAATTATAAAAAGTCTGCTCTGTTTATCTGAATGGATGACTTATTATCTCATAATTCAATATGCTTCTGTATAAATAAGCCAAATTTTTGATTCTTGCTAAAATAGACAAGTGTTATATGGTCAGGCAAATAATATTACAGGGTTTGTACGTTATGGTTTTATTAAGGGTTAATAAATCGTTTATTTATATGGCATTAATAAGAACATCTTTTGGGTTGCCAGTTTGGGGAAAATCCTCCACCAGAAGGACATTTGTTTTGTCTTTTTAGCTCTGAAATCCATTACGACTTCTTTTATGAACTGATGGGAAAACCGCTTTATCAACAGTTATAATGAGAGATGGT